CCTGTTTTGTAGCAGGTTTCCTATGAGACGGTCTGAGTAAGATTGTCTTTCAAGGTCGTTTTGCGGTGTTCTGGCAGGACTAGATGACCTTTGAGGATCTTTTCCAACAGTATGCTTCTATGATCCTCCTTAACACAAGTGAAGTGTCCAGAACTGAACCCCAGGCTCCAGATGGGTCTGGACCAGTGCGGAATACAGGGAAGGGGTGAAGGGAAAAGGCAGCCATGCATGCCGTGGCTTCCACCCCGGCCTCCTTGGGCAACCATTCCTGCCAAAGAGCCTGAGCTCATGAGGGGCCTCCTTCCCTGTTTATGGCCGGGTGTATTTTCCTTCCCACTCCTGTTAAGCCTGGTTTTATGGCCCGCTCATAAACCACCCCAGCAGCGATTTAGGGTCAGCGGGGAGGCTGTAATGACTTCAAAGTGGGGCGCAGGGTCAGGGGTGAGCCTTGTAAATAGTCTCGCGCCATAAAAATAATTGGGAAGGGTCAGCAGGGGCTCCCAATTGGAGGGAGGGGGATCCCCTTTACAGCCCTGGCTTTCCCAGAGCCGTGCCAGCAGAGGCGGGCGCTTCACTTCTCGTGGCGCTGTTGTCCCCATCTGCAAAGGGGAGATCAATGGAGTCCGGTCTCCTTTCTTAGGATGGAGCATCCTTTGCCACCAACAGTTGAGTACTGTTCCAGAATCTTTTGTATTGAAACAGAGAACTCTAGTGTTGGAAGGGGCACCATAAGGCCATCCAATCCAACCCCCTTTTCCTTTTCCAACCCTATGCGCCACAGAGGACTCTGTACATAATGCTTAGAGTCCTGATCTGTTCTGTTCTAACCAACTGGTGGCCATCCAGCTAAGAAGGGGACTTCGCCATGCGCCCAGGCCCACAACTGGGCATACTATCAGGAGGTGCATAGTGCTTTTTTCCCCCCCATGTCAGCAGCAACTTGAGAAACCACAAGTCACTCCTAGTGTGTGAGAATTGGCGTTGCCCAAGGGATGCCTGGATGTTTTACCACCCAGTGGGAGGCTTCTCTCATGTCCCTGCATGAGAAGCTGGAGCTGACAGACAGGAGCTCACCCTGCTCCCTGGATTCAAACCGCTGACCTTTCAATCAGCTGCCATGCCAGCACAAGGGTTTAACCCTATGCGCCACAGAGGACTCTGTACACAATGCTTACATCAAGGGAAGCCAGAGTCCTGATCTGTTCTGTTTTGACCAGATGAGGAATATTGTGATTTTGAGCCGTGGATTCAAATGGCAGGAAAAGAGGTTCCGCTTGAAGATAAGGAAGAACCTCCTGAGGAGAAAAGGTGTTCAGCAGTGGAATAGACTCACAAACCTCACAACCTCTGAGGACACTTGGCACAGATGCAGGCGAAATGTCAGGAGAGAATGCTTCTAGAACAGTGGTTCTCAACCTGGGATCCCCAGATGTTTTTGGCCTACAACTCCCA